CGCGGTCGTGTGGGGGGGGGGAATGCTGGGGTTAAGGGCCCCCCCCTCTTAAAAGGCCCCAAAGTTTGAGGAACACTGCTCTACACCATCTACAATAAGGATCCCAGGAGCCCTTTTTCAAACTAAACCGTTTTATTAAAAGGCAGCTCAAGTCTCTTTTCCAGCAAAACGGAGAGTGCGCTCCAAAGGTTTCAGCCCATCGCCAAAGGCCCCCACACAATGGGTCTTCAACACGTGATCCACAAGATCCCGGCGATCTCTTTCCCACGAAACCGGCCTCTGCTTGACCCACCTGCCCGGCTTAAACCCGGCGGCCGTCCAGCCACTCCCTGCCCCCCACAGAGCGCGCTGCCGCTCGCAAAAGCTTCTGCCTTTTAATAACCTGGGTTCGAAAAGATGCCCCTCCTGATTTTTGGCTACCAGAGACTCGGACGGCTCTCCTGCTACCCTATACATGGAAGACGATGCGTCAAGGACCCCCTCGACCGCTCTGGCTCCGTTTCTCAAGGCGCTGCCTCACGGTCCAACCCTCCCCGGGAGTTGCTTCCCCATCAGATCACAGCCCCAGAATCAGCCACCCGCCCGGCTTGACGAGAGGATGGCATCAGAGAGCATCCCTCCAAGGCCTCCTTGCTCCCACATCCCTCCAAACTGGGAGCCAGGAGACCCCAAGCTGCTCACTCCCCCCCCACTCCTGCCCCTTCCAGCCAGGTTGTCCCCCTCCCCAATTCGTTCTTCCCAGCCTGGCCTCCTGCCCGAGCGTCCTCTCCCCAGGACCCAACGCGTGCCTTGCCCCGCCACTTCCAGACGTCGCTCTCTTCTTCCTTCCTTCCTTCCTTCCTTCCTTCCTTCCTTCCTTCCTTCCTTCCTTCCTTCCTTCGTGTCGGAGTTCCTCGGCCCCAGGGAGCCATCGCGTCTGGGCAGGATGCGACTGTTTCCTCCGTTTCGGGGGGAAGGCAGAGGAAGGGATGGGGCGGGGGGGGGATGTACCAAAAAATATTTTTAAAAAAACCTCACACATTGCCAACATTATAAACAGGCCAAGAAAAATGGCAGTTTGTGCTGAACAGGAATTTAGAAGGTGTCACTCATCACAATATCACAACTACAATGTTTGCAAAGCTTAAAGTGGCTAAGATTGGACAGTGCCAACAGGGGAGGGGAGGACAAAGAGGAGGGGGTTCCTTTGACAGCCATCCACGTGGAGCCTTCTCTGTCCCCTGCTTCCCCGGGGAAAGCGCCTCGCCCCTCGGCCGGCCGCCCGTTCAGGAACAGAAAGAGCAGACACGGATAAATGAGAACTTCACTACAGGGTTAGGACGTAGCCGGCCTCCCTAATTTAATTCTCAGGATTGGTTAGGAAGGGTTTATCCTAGTCCCCGGAATACGCCACAATGACACCGCTCCTCCACTTCTGCATCAAGAGATCTACTGAAGGTTAACAGTAATTTCAGCAAAATCTCTTTGTCCCTTCTCAAAGGAGACCACCTTGAGCCCCCTCCTTCATTGCTCCTTAATGCACACACACGCACACGCACGCACACAATTCCTTACGAGTAGGCAGTGATTGCAAGAAGAGAAGGTCCTAGAGAGGGCAACTTTCTTCTATAACCTTGTCTCCTTTAGAGAAGAGGTGTGGAATGTAAGAATCACAACCTTGCTTTGTTGCCGTTGTTAAAAAAGGGGGGAAAAAAGAGTGGTGGTCTCTACGCAGAGTACTCATGGCAGTAAAACCGGCTCCCTCGCCTTTGTTCAGAGGAGGCAGCAAAGAAAGGAGAGGACGGCTGCAGGATTCCCGTGCAGCCCCATCCCTCGGACTGGCAGCCTCAGAAGACGTCGCATGGAGGAGCGCTTCCCAGACCCGGCTCGCGGGCAGCGCCAGGAATGTTGTGAGCCGCCCAGAGACGCTTAGGCGAGACGGGCGGCGGCACAAGTCGAATAAATAAATAAATAAACCGGTACAGAACATCACAAAGGTGGAGGCCCAGGAAGAAAGGGTCAGGATGGGAGGGGAGAAGGCAAAGAGACTGAGGACGAGCCACATGGCTGAGTGGACCAAATCGGTGGCACTTGTGGGCAGCGAGCACTTCCCTTGGACACAGAGAGCTCGTGGCCCCTCCAGCCGGCTCCTTACTAGGCATCCTCAGATTCCAGAGCTATGGGGAAGAGAAACGAGGGAAGGGGGGAAATACACTCCCAGGTAGGGCACTGCTCACCGTGGCAACTTGGAACAAAAGAGCTGGGGAAAAGGGTCAGGAGCCCACCTAACCGGGGAGAAGGGAAATGAACGTGAGAATCAGGAGGCATTCTTGGTCCTCAAAGATTTTAGTTAAAAATCAAGACACTGAAAAAACACGGGGACGGGGCGAGTTAGAGGCCGACTGAAGGAGATTCCGTGACACATAGAAAGTCTAGATAGAAATCTACAAACAGACAAAATATAATATAATATAATATATATATATTTTATGTATATATATATATATATATGTATATATGTATATGTATAAATAACAAATCAGGCTATTTACAAGACACCCACACGCAACACACACTCACACACACCGGGGAGGGGATGGGCTGGGAAGGGAGGTGTAGGGGGTGTGTATGGAGGGGAAGCTGGGGCTGGAAGACTTCGCCCCTCGCGCCTCTCCCGGCCACTGCTCCTGGATGGGAAATGACTCGGTGAATTCCACTAAGTGCTGAAGTAAAC